TAAAAAACAGTCCTGGCACAGGCTCGACCAGGGTGCAAGTTGGAAACGGTCTCCCAACAAGGCAACAGCGCAACGAAACACAAGACAACACAGAAACAATCACACAAGGAAGGAAAAAGACAACAACCCAGAAACAGAGAGAGAGAGAGAGAGAGAGAGAGAGAGAGAGAGAGAGAGAGAGAGAGAGAGAGAGAGAGAGAGAGAGATAGAGAGAAGAAGAAGAAGAAGTCCTAGAAAAAAGTAAAGATTAAAAAAAAAATGATGATGGATTGTTTCGTTGGAGTTGCATCGACTCATCATAAGGCTGAACCCTCGACACTTTGTGGAATACCAATATATTATATATCGTATATATTATCCTTGTTAACTCTGCATTTGACCACTAGGATTTCCTCATCTCTCATGATCTTTTTCTCCTATCCCAAGGTTTAAATTTGAAGAAGGAAAAGGAACACGTGGTAGTTACCAAGAAAGTGACCAAACGCGCCGACCGACGAAGTGTGAGTCTGTCGACCAAGCGAGTATGCTCACTATCGGACTTGGTCTGGAATCTGAAGACAAAACTCTCGACTGAAGTCCAACGAATTTTGCCCCAATAATCCGTTTGAACACTGCTGGTCACCGTCGTTGCAGAAACTATTAGAACACAAGTCGTTTCTTTTCCTTCTTCAAACTTAAACCTTGGGATAAGAGAAAAAGATAATGAGAGCTGAAGAAATCATAGTGGTGAGATGTAGAGTCAACAAGGATAAATATGATGGATGAGAGATGGAATCCGATCAGGACATGCAGTTTCATAAATTAACCTAGAGAGAGCGTGCTGTCAAGAGATTTGGAGAAAAAAAATGCATAGAGTATGTCTTTTACTTTTACGATCGCAATGGCAAACTGCACAACACTGACTTATCTCTAGAGACTGCTGAGCAGGCTAGGACAAAGCTCAAGTGAATACTCTCGAACTCCCTCTTTCAAGGATCCTATCAGTCGTCCTTTTCTACCTCATTGATGGTTCTTACCGGGATGATATGGTTGACCTGGCCAAAAGGTATGTCTCTCCAACAGAGATTGACTATGAGGTAATGACTGGGCCTTCAGTTCCGTCATCTCAGGCGAGGGATCTTCTCTAGGCCATATCTTCCTACTCTGTGGGAGGAGTTTTGTGCTATGCTTGACTTCCGAATCTTTGGCCTTGAATGGACCTATTCGGAACTCAAGGGCTTTAGGTGGCTCTTTATTACTATACCACAATATCAGCAAGTACGTAGATGTGGCTTAAACCGCCAGTACCTTTTACGACTTGAAAACCCACCTCCGAGCATGCCGGGAGCTCGTTTTACAGGCTCGACACAGGTTTGAGCTGGGAAAGGACGAGCTAGGCATTATGCTATTTTCCTACTTGGAAAATCACGGGGGAAAAAAGAAAGAGGTTCTGGCGCGTTGGTTCAGAGGTGCAACTCGTTTGGGCACCCGCAATAAAAAGCGAAAAAAAAAAAGAGAGAATTGAGAATATGGACGTATCTGTACAGTGCCAAGTCCAGATACGGTTTTCCAGTTTTCAAGGTACCACAAGGCCGTATCTAAAAATCTCGGCTGACAACGAACAATCCACGCTGACAGCGAAAAGATCGCAGCCAGACCCTCAACCCGTTGTTTTTTTGTTTTTTTTTGTTTCCTCCTCTGAATCCTCAATCACCGTGTATCTTTCCTTGTTCCAGAGGAAGATTCATTTGCATTTTGCACCTCTCGTGAGCTTTGCCAGACCCTCAGCCCGTTGTTTCTTTGTTTTTTTTTGTTTTCTCCTCTGAACCCTCGATCACCGTGTATCTTTCCTTGTTCCAGAGGAAGATTCATTCGCATTTTGCACCTTTCGTGAGCTTTGGAGCCTGACCCTCAGCCCATCCTTTTTGTTTCGTTCTTTTTTTTCTTTCTTTATCTGAACCTTGGTGTGACACTGCTCCTCTTTTCTCGCCGCCTGACAGCACGACCGTGGCCACCCCTCACCCCGTTTTTTTTTTTTATTGTTTTTTTTTTTTTGCCAAGGCAGTTTCAACTCCTTTTCCGGGCTGCCCCCCCAACAGCGTCGGGAACCAACCGCGGACTGGTTCGGCAAGAACTGCTCAAAGGTACTGGCGGTTTAAGGCACAAGAAACACACAGTCAAATAAGAGATTGAGGATGCGACCTGAGAGGTAGAGTGAGGACTCTTGACGAGTGTTGGCCATGTCGTTTCATTTATACTTTCTAAGATTATTACGAGTTCTCACCTTCCCTCATTCATCCTGTCTTTGCCTTGAGTCAAGTCGGTCCTGATCTTGTTTCATTGACATTGTTTGACGATATGCTCTTTGCTGGTTATGTCACAGTTCTCAAATTTCTAAATTGATAATCATGATGTGCTATGCATTTCATTTTAATTTATCAATTGCAGAATTGCATTTGCTGTTCCGAATCACACTTAAAGATTCCTAAGACCGGGGACCGACGCAAAAAATCATCAAAAATCCTGCATGACAGCCTGTTGTCTTTCCGGTTGCCAGAAGTGGCCTCATTGAAGAAAGGTGGGACACAGGGTGTCGGGGAAGTGATGGGCTAGCGGGACAGGTCCGACACACAATTTTACAGGCTGGTAGGGCCTAAAATTTTGGAAAAACAAAAGGCCCAATCTGGGTCTTAAGATCATGAAGATCGACGCCCCAATTTGGATCATTTTGAATTTAAAACTTCTCGTAGCTCGACCCCTTGCATCGCGCACGATTTCAGCCCAAACATTCGGACGTTGGGCGTTGCTTCACGCCAGCAGCAGCAGGAGGCCTCCCTACGCCGCTATCTCCTTGCCTATCTCCTCTTCTTTCCCTTGAGACCCCCTCCCTTCTTCTTCTTCCTCCTCCTCCTCCCCCTGACTTCTTCGTTGTCCTCCTCTTCCATGTCTTCTTCCTCCTCGTCCTGCTCCTCTTTCTGGTCTTCGTCCTCCTTTTGTTCTTTCTGCACGTCCTACTTCCTTCTTCTTCCTCCATCTCTTTCTCCTCCTCCTCATCATTATCATCACCATCCCCCTCCTCCTCGTGTTGATCTCCTCCCCCGCTGCTGCGACTAGATACGGTACCTTGGCCACGCAACCCCCCCAACCCCTTCTCGCCTTCCTGTCCCACTTCCTCCTGATGCAGAAACTCACCCACCCCCTCGTTGACCCTCGTGTTTTTTTTTTCTTTTTTCAATCAATCAATCAATCAATCAATCAATCAATCAATCAATCAATCAATCAATGGGTCCATCCATCAATCGAATCAGTTGATTCATCAAATTGATTGATTGATTGATTGATTCAATTTGATTGATTGAAAGAAGAAGACAAAAGAAGATCGACGCGGGGTGGGGGGTTCCTGCACTAGGAGGAAGTGGTAAAGGAAGGCGAGAAGGGGTTGGGGGGGTGCCGCGACAAAGGTGGAGGATGCGGCATCAGCGGCGGGGGAAGAGAATGACGAGGAGGAGGAGGAGGAGGACGAGGAGGACGAAGAAGGGAGGAGGGTGAGTTGGGATGTGGGTGCCGGCGCCATCTTTTTTTTTTTTTTTTTTTTTTTTTTTTTTTTAAACCCCTTATGGGGCCCCCATCTGTTCTGGGGGGCATCAGTCCAGTTGCTCATCACCGGCAAGCAAGTTTTACACAATCGATAAAAGCACAGTCAGAATCAAGACAGCTTTACACTTGCGATCCTAGACGCCTTGCCAAGGGGGGGTTGCATGGGGTCGTCCATCCTTCCCGTTCCCTGGGCACCCGCCGGTTCCTTTGCTGGTCGGGAACTTGCCAGCAGTACCCAGTCACACAGCAAGTGAACCGTGGACACCTGGGGCATGGGGGGGGTGGGGGCTCCGTGGCCTCCCAGGCTTCCAAGGAAAGCCTCTCCACCTCCCACTACCATTGTTCCACTTGTCTTATTACTTCTTAGCATTTCATAATGGTATCGAGTCTTGTACGCAGTGCATAGTACTTGTGGTATTGAGTCTTGTACTTAGTGCATAGTACTTGTGGTTATTACGGGAGCGTAATAGTCTGGGCCGGGCACCATAACCGTTTGTGCTGAGGTTGCACGACCCTAGTCAGTCAGTGCTGAATACTCACAACTGACTTTGGGTCAAGAAAAATAGATGGAGCCTCCCCGATAGAGCTAGTGGTGCCCTCTCGTACCAGCATCCCTAGCATCTGTTCGGGTTGTTTTCTTAAAAAAAAAAAAAAAAAAAAAAGGACCCAGGCCCAAAAATGGCCAAAAAAAGCCCAAGCATCTAACCATGCCTGGTTTATCCTTTTTTTTTTTTTTTTTTTTTTTTTTCTTGTTTTTTTTGGTTATCTTAATTTGTGATGGTGCTTGGCTATGCTTTCCCTTCTCTTCTTTGCCCCCTGGTTTTGTCCTCTTCATGTCCTTCCTCTTCCCGTGCTCCTCCCCCTTTTTTCCCCACTTCTTCCTCTCTTCGTCTTCCCACTTCTTCCCCTCTTCTTCCTGTCTTTCCCACTTGTTGCTCCCGGTCTTGCTCCCCCTTCTGGCTCCTGAGCCCCGTCCCCTCTTTTTCCTTCTCCCCCCCTTCTTGGTCCCCTTCTCTAACCCCCTCTTGCACCCCTTCTTGTCCCTCTTCTTGCTCCCCTTTTAGCACTCCTTGTACCCGTTCTTGCGCCCCTTCTTCCCCTTCTTCTGTCCCTTACCCCCACCTCTTCTTCCCCTCTTCTTCCGGTCTTCGTCCCTTCTTCTCCTCTTCTTCCCCTCTTCTTCCCCTCTTTTTTTCCTCTTCTTCCCTCTTCTTCCCCTTCTTGCTCCTCTCCTTGCTCTCATGCATGGGACCGGTCTTGCTACCCTTCTTGTGCCATTTCTTGCACCCCTTCTTGATCCCCCTTTTGTTCCTCATCCCCCCCTCTCCTCTTCCAAGACTTCCTTCCCCCCTTCTTGCTCCCCTAGCTCTTCCCTGCTTCTTCCCCTGTTCCCCCCTTTGTTGCTAGTTTTCCTCTCTTCCGTTCTTGCCCCCCCCGGCATTCTTGCTCTCCTTCCTTCTCCCCTTCTCTCTCTGGCTTTTCCTGCTCCCCTTCTTGGGCCCTTTTGGTGTCACTCTTAGCTTATTTGCTGCCGCGATTCTTCCTCCCTTTCTTTTTCACGTCCCTTTCTTCGACACTCTCTTTTGGATAGTACCTCTGTGGGAGTCTGGATGGTAGGTGGATGGAGAGTTGTGGACATTTCCTATTCTCAGTCTGAGAGGCAAACACAAGAGGCAGGTCCCACATGCGCTAAAGCATGAACCTGGCCATATTTGCAACCAGGTCCGTGCTCGCGAAGCATGAACGGAGCACCAGTGAAGCCTGCCCCCTTAGATACAGTCAGTGACCTGGCGATCTATGAATTTTGGACTGTTTCTTGCAGATGACGGTGAAGCTCGTGTTTAAGCATAAGCGTCTGCAATACGATCCTCCGCTTGAAGAAATACGTGCCCATCACTATCGAGAGATCAACAAGTACCTATGGTAAATTAATGTGCTTTTCATTTTGAACTTTCAAGCCATAGGCCTTGTCCCTTTTTTTTTTTTTTTTTTTTNAGGGCCATTACCTGGCTTCGGCTAAGAACAACCTGAAAACTATGAAAAAATTTCAGGAAAATTTAAGAAAACGTGGATAGCTGCTTCCCTAATGCTAAACTACTCAAGCAGCAATTACTAAGTAAAATTGAAAGTATGGCTAAAGAACAAGGGCATAGGCCAAATTCAGAAAGCAACTGAGAACCCCCCCATCAATCCTCTTTACCTCACTCTGGCAAGCCTTACTGCAGCAGAGCCACCATCTCTGCTGTTGCTGTACCCTACTCCCATCCTACGAGCTAACCCCTCACTAGTAGGACGCTTGATATCCCACCATCAACATCTCCCCCTAACCTCAATTTTTACCCGGCATCGTTTTTTTGGATACCTAAGCGCCCCAGAATTGCTCCTTCCCCTGGGTCACTCCAGCTCCCTCTGGGACTTTAATTTCCTTACCACATCATGCACATAGCCCCGCAGAACTGGGTTCCCCCTCCCTCCTTCCCCACCCAAGTTACCACTTCCCCTGGTTGACTCCAGCTCCCTCAGGGACTTACAATTTCCTTACCACATCACGCACATGCCCCCGCAGAACTACAGATCCCCCTTTTCTACCCTAATTACCCTTCCCTCCAGCTCCCTCTGGGACTTACAAGCACATCAAGCACATGCCGCCGCAGAACTAGAGATCCTGAAATCCATCCTCTCAACCCCCTTGAGCCCATCCGACCCCAAAATCAGCCCGGCATCCTCTCCAGGGTAATATGCTCCACAAAACAAAACTCCCCAATCCTGGTCAACACGTGTAAATCTGGACCGTATACCCAGTAAAGTTGCGAAAAACTACCACTGTGGTAGTCTCCATGTAGCAGCTATGGTTACCCACCCAACTCCTCCCTCTTCCCTCTTTACCCTCCCCCACTACCACCTCCAGGTCTCTCCAGCTCCCTCTGGGACTTGCAATTTCCTTACTACATCAAGCACATGCCCCCGCAGAATCTCCTGCCACCCTTTTTTTTTTTTTTTGAATCAATCAATCAATCAGCTGAATCTGTTGAATCAATCATTCAATTAAATCAAGATCCAGTCTATTGGATCTTGATTACAATGATTTCATTGAATGCTTCATTCAATGGATTCGTTGGATTGATTGATTGATTGATTGATTGGAAAAAAAAAGAAAAAAGAGGATTGACAGGGGGGGATTCCTGTTGCACCAGCCGCTGCATCTGCAGCAGCGGACCTTCCACCCTCCCCCACCCTAATCCTCCTTCCCCATTTCTTTCAATTTCATATTTTTTTTGCACGAAATGAGCTGATTTTCTTTTTTATGGGGTCTCATTATGTAGCGCTGACCCCACTCATTTTTATTTTAATTTTTTGTGCTTTTTATTTAGGAGAAAACGAGTTGTCCGGGATCCCGGACAACTCCTACCCCAATCGTCCGTCTTTTGATCGGACAGTTGGTAACATAGTTGTATTGCAATTTTATGCAGCATATGTTTCTTCCAGAACTGTTTGATTTTGTTATTTCTCCTGTTCTTAAAACGTTTTTGTGCTGGGACTGTGTGGGACCCTGCCCGGGGCTCACCCAGCTGGGCTTGCCTGGGTGGTACCCGGGCCGACACAGCCAGTCCAGGCCTCTCGGGGACCAGCCCTGAGAAAAGAACAACAAAACCAAAAACGGGTTCACTGCTAACAAAGCGCTACTTGCAAACTCAGCCCAGGATATAAGAAAAAGAAAAAAGTCAGCCTAGGTGGCTGAATTATACACTCATCTGACTGTTAGTAAACAGATGGAATTGCATGGATACAATATTGAAGGGGGTACCCGGGTATCCCATTAAGAAAGAAAGGAGGATCCCGGTTTCCAGCCTTAGGTGCCTTGATAGCCTATCAGATGGGATACTAAACCCGGTTTCCAGCGATTAACAATTGGATGTAACCAGATAAATGGGACGCTGGACCCGGTTCCCAGCAGGTGCTGCTCCCCACCAATAGATTGGTGCACTGGTGGTTGAGCAATTGGACGTAATCAGATAAATGGGACGCGGGACCCGGTTTCCAGCAGGTGCTGCTCCCCGCCAATGGATCGGAGCAGTCGGCACATTCCACTAGAGGGGGATGCTCTTATCACCTCCTCTAGTGGACTGACGCTGACTCGAGAAAAATAAGAAAAAAAAGGAGCCTGATGTGTTAGTGTACCCTTGTACGTCAGGACTCTTCCCACATGTCGCCAGTTGTTAAATGTCCTATTTACCATATTCTATTATCAAATTCACATATTGAATGACTTTTGTTTCCGGCTTGCATTTTGCATTGAATTATTTACTGCCTGACCAACTGGGCCGCCCGGCTGACATTGGTTGCCTGACACCCTGGCCTGGCAAGGGCCAGGAAAGGTCCCTGCGGAAAAAAAAAAAAAAAAAAAAAAAAAAAAAAAAAAAAAAAAAAAAAA